AGAAGGAAGGAACAGGTCGAATTGTGGCTCTCCACCGGTGGCTGATAACCACGTGGACCAACTGCGTCCACAGTTAATTTGCGGTGACTGACCGCCAAGTTATGCGAACGTTTATTTAGAAAGTTCGTACTTGCCAAAAACAGTTCATGATCAGCACACAACTGAAGGAGTCAATCTCTGTCGTCTGTGCGGCTAGCATGGACTCAGAATCTACCGCCGAAATGTGATTCCAACTGATTCCAAACTGATATCCCATTAAGTGTATATGGCGAAATCTGCCCAAGCAGGACATACGGTTGACGGAAACTCGGAGACTGTGCTTACATGATGAACCCCAAGAAGGGCGAAACCGGTCGTGTGCTGTCGAGGAGTTTTCAGCGGCGCTATGGGTAGTTTCCTTCATGCCAACTATTCTTACCTGGCCAGTGTGACCCGAATGAGTAGATTCTGTAGATTCTTATCCCAGAAATGCATGGAGGTCCCAGGCGGATTACGTGCAGGTTATCATCAAATTCCTCAAACTGCTGAATGAAACCCGCACTCGATCTCACTCATACAGTGAGGCTTTTCGTTCGCACCATCCGAAATATTAGGGAAAAATACCAAAAGTGCATCACCTGGCGGTGCTATTCTTCACCTGTGTATTTGGTCAAAACCAATCCTTCGATCCCGAATAGGAAGTCGTTTTAGGGATGAAAGGATTCCCCAGCTCGGCCATCTTCCACATGGATATTCTGAATTTACCAGCCTCACGACAATGAAAACGGTGGCATGACTGAACATGAATCGACAGGCTTCGGGAAACCGTCTTCTATCTCCGGCTGAAAGTGCCAAACACAGACTTCGTGCTAGAAAAAGTGAGACCTTGAACTATACCACGCCTTGTCAGACAGGACTTGCTTGTTGGCAATTTTCGATGTAGCAGAAAGATTCAAACAGTTGTTGAACAAGTCCAGAACATGTATATACCCAATTAAACCAGTTTATTCGTATGAATTCTGGGTCAACGCTGCGACATCAAACGCGAGTTTTTCTGCAACAGTCAAAAGGAAGATGGATAAACCAGAAGATCGGCAGTCAGAGGTGTCACACCCATCTCAACGCACACTCTCAGATAGGGGCAAATAGGCACAGTTCTTCAAAATAGGAATGTATTGGATCACAAATGTTCTGATGCTAAGGATACTTTCCATCGGGAGCTAATCGAACTCATCCGTCAAGCAAAAGGCACTGACACTGTGACCCTTGCAAGCGATTTGAATGCTGAAGTAGTTCGTCGCTCAGCTTATGGTATCTTCCGGTGCTTGGCTGCGACGCACCCGGAAGAAGGTATAAGGACTGGGGTACTACCTGAGTGCCTAAACCTAGGCAGAAAAAACCGTGAAGCCATGATTGAGCCACGAATCCTTTCGGTAATCGGTATCATAGCTTAACCTTGTGCTACTTAAATGAAACCGATGGCATTACGTGGAATGTCGCCAAAATATGCATCACGTACCATCACACTTGCATGCTGCAAAGTCATAAATCGGGGGAGATATCGAGAGAACAGTTAGCACAAACCCATCGAAATGTCCCACTAAGGTGAAGGCAAAAGCCCAACCAATTTCAAAATCTAATGCAAATAAGCATTGATAAACGCTTTCAACTGTACAAGAAAATAAGAGATAAACTAACTGAACAATTTACACCTCAGTGGTGATCCGCGAGACTTGAAGAACTAAGTAACTGTCGAAGGTCCTCTAAAGAATACTGAGAGCTCTCACATTGGAGACCAGTTACAGGATCTTGCAGATTGCCGGCCGGAAACACCACCTTCTTCAATCTGTAAACGGTATTGAAAGCGATCGGAGGGTCTGTTTTTTCTATCAACACAATATCCCCTATGGTTGGTTGGAAGCCCGATCGGTGTACCCAGTATGTCGCCGTTTGGTAATAGTACTATTAAGAGAATTGATGTGAAGGGGAAACGCATACCTTCAACAAGAATCGATTCAGGCATAGCTTGTGCAAACGCACTTTAACAATCTCCGGATGAGATGCTGTCAATTGTTGTCCGAATGGAACGACTTGTCCAAGTGCAAGATCGAAAGGAGCACGTACCCTCTTCCCGGTAAAATAGGCCTTCTCTCCCGAAACTCGATCCAGTTCCGGTTTGTGATACGGGAAGTATTTATCAATATGAGGTTCTAGTCGCTTGAATATTTCCTTCCCGCGGTGCCTCCAGTATCGAACCATGATTCTGGGGATGAAGATGAAAAACGATAAGTAGAAGCAGTTCATGCACCAAAATAAGGACTGTAGCAGAAAAGTGACAACAATCATAAGCATCTCTCATGATGGTAACCAGGGAGTTCGGGAACAACCGAGGCTTTTGCTAAACTGCATTCAGCAGAAGCAGCAAGCTCACCATGTATGGGGGAATTTCTTACGGGTCTTCGGAATACCACCGCAATCAGTAGACGGTTTGAAAACGAAGCAAAACACTTGCATCACCAGTCAGAGCGAATTTGTTACCATTGCATTACCAAGAACAGAAGTACGGCACTGCACATTTGATTGCATTGAATGAAGGTTTCAGTTAGGAAAACGGGTGGAAGAACAGAAACCTAGGTGGAGAAAGTTCGTGGTTCACACCTTGTAACACTGACAGAAGTACCCACATATGTCGGACATCGGGGCTGTGTAGTGTATCAAAATTAGAGAACTATCCAGTTGCCATAATGGCAACAACAACAACAACGAATGGCCGGTTGGGTGATCAGCTGGCTATGAAAAATGTTGGTTGACAAGCCGTGGTCACTATATCTTCCGCTAGATATTTCCTTACTCCTTCCATCTTCCGTTTTCACCCCACTTACACATCAGGGCTTTCTTCGAACGAACTAGTGCCTGCATAAAAGTAAAGCACTGGTTTTGTGCCAGTGGTGACGATTAACATCTAAACCCAACAACCATTCGGTCCTTAGCAAGAGTGTCAAGTCACACCGGACTTGGTTAGGTGCTCTCTTAACCGGGTTTCCGAGTTTCAGTCGAACCAAACATTGACCAACAAGAATGAATACTTCCGTGTACCCTGATATCAGAATGGATTCCACCTTCAAAAAGCGTCTTTACAGTAGTGAAGTGCTTGGAACAACCGGAAATCGTCAACCCCAAGCTGGATATAACCCGTGTGGTACATGCACTTAAGACACCTCCAGGCAAACGGCTGTCTATCACACCAATCCGGCGTCAGCTTGCGTGATAATTGAGATGGTGAGACTGAGTAGGTCTCCCAACTCGGCCATCACCACACGGTTTTCAAAGGTCCCTTAGGCAAACTGCGTAGCGGATCCACTAGTAATTTTGCGCTCGTTTGAAAAGTGGACCCAAGAACATCTCTGGTAATTGACGTCAGGTCAGTAAAAGCTTGTGGTTCATCAGGCAAAATACGTCAGCAAAACCGAGGTAGCGCTTTTCACTCCTGAATTTCTAGGATGAAACACAAAAGGTCGGACAAGTAGAGGACGATTGTTAGTCGTGACCAGTCTGTACATCAACGAATAACCCATCATCCCACTTCCCAGTGCTGCACGAGAAAGAGGACACTGGTGAGACTAGTCAAACAGCCACCCTTAACTCACCTGTTCACTTTTATCCGAGCATTATCGAAGCCCTGGACGTGACCGTAACACCCAGTTCAGTGTGCATGTTTCAGAAGGCTTTGGGTTGTCCACAGACTTTCCTATCAATCACTCTCCGCTCCGGCTGAAGTGGAGACGCGGGATATCCCTGTTTCAATTAGATCAATCAACTTATCAGCCATAAACCGTGCCTTGAGCACTTTGGTTCCAGCTGCCACAATTTCGATCACCGAAAAATTGGGGAGTGTGGGACATACAGCCAGGACTTAGAGGCAATGGTATATTTGGTTAGCTCGTAGACTGGGTAGCTACGCATCGAAGGCGAAACTTTGATGCATGGACGCCACTGACCGCGCAATTGGGTCATTTCCACCAGTGTCACTAGCCATTAGTGAATTGAGTCCCGTAGTCTTCATCCAGGGAGGCGGCGGCTGTCGACCCGACCCAGTCTACTGGTTAGTGTTTTAATACTTCATTGCCAGGTCACACGCTGTCCACCTTTTGGTCACTTCCAATTAACACAGAGCTGGGCGAAAAAGCTCTGCGAGGTTGTTGGTTTTGTGGCATGCGGAGTATATTTCTTAACCAGTGAAAAAATCGTTCAGCTGTAGCACCCTTTCGGCGCCTAGCTGCCATGCCACTCGAAGGAAGCACGAGGCTTCGATACTTCCAGGTTGCCCAACCCTAGGCAGAGGAAGTCGAGAGACAGAGGTCGGGTTCGAAGCACAGACCTACCTGTCAGTAAATTCGCGCTCTAACCACTGAGCCGTCTCGCGTGTAATTCATCTATCGCGGGAGAGTTCCATCTTCCTACGACCATCGGACGCACCGTAGCACTATTAATCCGGTGTTTCCAGCAGACCCGACTAATGCTTCAGAGGCACCAATGGCCTTCCTACGACCATCGGACGCACCGTAGCATTATTAATCCGATGTTTCCAGCTGACTAATGTTTCAGAGGCACCGATGGTCAAAAACTGACATCTCTGCGCATAGAGGCCACCTCTCTTATCCGTATGGATCGTACTGCCGCAGTGCAAACCCTGCCCTTGACTGACAAGCCCACATCACAGTAGTGCCATAGGTGTCGGAGGCTGGCGAAAGCTGCCCTGGCTTCCCCAATTCGAGAAATGATCTAACCTCCAGCCGGTCCACCAGAACTTATACAGCTGCCCAGGTAAACAAATTTATCTAACAAATCAACTGGCTCGTCTTCAAGCATGAGATTTGAATTCGATCCAACTCCGTCTTGTAGTGGCACTTCTGTTTCCAGCAGACCCGACTAATGCTTCAGAGGCACCAATGGCCAAAAACTGACATCTCTGCGCATAGAGGCCACCTCTCTTATCCGTATGGATCGTACTGCCGCAGTGCAAACCCTGCCCTTGACTGACAAGCCCACATCACAGTAGTGCCATAGGTGTCGGAGGCTGGCGAAAGCTGCCCTGGCTTCCCCAATTCGAGAAATGATCTAACCTCCAGCCGGTCCACCAGAACTTATACAGCTGCCCAGGTAAACAAATTTATCTAACAAATCAACTGGCTCGTCTTCAAGCATGAGATTTGAATTCGATCCAACTCCGTCTTGTAGTGGCACTTCACAATGCAGTTGTGAAGTGCATGCCAAACCGTGCGGCAGTTACTTGGGTTATTTAAAATAGCTTGCATTATTGAGGGAACTGAACCAAGGAGAGCAATGTCACCCGCATTCTCGATGTCTGTGAGCGAACGTCCCGGGAGCATTTCGACTCCCGAGGTTTCGGAGGCAGGCAGAGAAATTGCAGCTCTTCGTCCACTGGTACTAACCTCCCCACCCGTCGAGCGATATTCATGTCTGTCCTTATTCGTATGTCTTGTAATGCCCAACCTTCCATGAAGAGGCACGTCCGTATTCAGAGCACTTAGAACGTCCCGGGAGCATTTCGACTCCCGAGGTTTCGGAGGCAGGCAGAGAAATTGCAGCTCTTCGTTCACTGGTACTAACCTCCCCACCCGTCGAGCGATATTCTTGTCTGTCCTTATTCGTATGTCTTGTAGTGCCCAACCTTCCATGAAGAGGCACGTCCGTATTCGAGAGCACTTAAGTCTGGTACGTGCCGGTCTCGCTCTTACTCAGTCAAACGGTAGATGCTCGAACCAAAATTCCACCATTCTTCAATATAAAGCATCGGTTCATTGGTCTGCGAAATCACGGATAAAATACTAACGGCCACCTAGAAGCACAAATTGGTATCAACCCGAAGTCGCCTCACAAGCACGTCAGCCAGTCCCGGTGACAGCCACGAAGTCGAGGATTGTGGAGTTCACTTAGGATTGCACTACCTAAAACGCATCGAGAACAAAGCAATCAACACTTGCCCCACCGCAACACCTAACAACGGTCTAGTCGGAGCGCGCTGGCGTTAAACTGAGGCTATAATGTGACGAGTGCTACGTGGCCTTTCACAATAATTCAGAGGCCTACTTGTCAGCATTACACGACAAACGGTTTTAATTTAGCCCCACACGAATATTTACATTAAACAAGGTAATGACTGAAGTCCACAAGAATACGACTAAGCTTCCTACTAAGTGTCGCTCCATTCACTACTTAGTGGGGTTTACGGCGTACCACAGGCCCTGAATGTAATCAAATGTACACCTTGCATTATGCGGGCTGCATTTAGGTGAATAATCCTTGGCAGGTTTGTTACTCAATAAAGTAATAATTCGTAGTGCACATTGATGATTCTGAAATACGCAGACGGGAGTAAATGTACACCAAGTCATCTAGGCAAAGAGGTAACGTAGCTGCGTTTGGTGAATAACTGGGAGCGTGGAAAAGGTTGCAAGGGAATCACGTGGTCCCGTGCACAAGTACACAGCAAAGGATTCACGAAGGACGGACCATCTGAAACTGCCTACCACTCATTCCCCCGTGAAATCAGTTTAGGTGGCGTGGATTTTGAAGCAAACGAGGAAGGCGTGCTAGCATACGCGTACATTTCCGAGTTTTTTCCGCGAACGTCGACGAGGAATTCGTAACAGACAAGACAGTTCGCTAGTCACTCCCACTTGGGAAACTACTGTTGTTACTTTCGCATGTCTCTTCGCCACATACTCTTCATGAGCTACACAAGCTTATGTAGACAGTGGCTATGTGCTCACTTGAAACCGAAGTGACGAGATTAGGATCCCGTTGACTTCCATCGGACCTGAGACCTGACACTAACGAACGGGTAATATGCGGTCGAGAAGGCTGATAAGCCCACACCACTTTCATTTATCATGCGAGTAATAGCAGCAACAGCATCAGAAATGAAACTGGCTAGTGTTAAGCATTCTCCCCAAAGCTATTCGGTTCAGCTGAAACACTAATACTGGCGCACTCAAAGGGTTCCACTCTGGTGAATATGCGGCCATTCAAAACCACGGCAACATATAAAACACGGTCAAAGATCATGATCGCCAGACATCAGTAGCCATACTCAGGACTAACACTAACTAACTAACTATCATACTGCTACTCAACGTTGGGTGCCCCTTTATCCATGAGTTGGGTAATTCCAGGAAACATGGGTGCCCCTTCAGAGATGATATCATACGTCACGCCCTCGGAACACCTAAGTAATCTACCCTAGTCACCCTACACTCGTACACCTTTTTCGTCACCATCCGGAATAAACGCTTTTCGACTACAACTGCGTTCAGGTTGCCAACATTCCTACGCGGCCGTCTAAGAGAGACTGCGGCGAACCAGCAGAACAAATCAGAAACACACCACAGGTTGGAGGCGCTTGGCAGTTTCATTCATAGAGACCAGAGAAGGGCAGTTACCCGGGTGAACTCCTCGACGATCTTCTCACCATTATCGCATTTGAGCACGCGAGTGTGCAGTTCGACGAGATGTGCAGAGTGGAGTCGCATGTCATCATTGACGGAAAGATGAGAAGACGCGCGCTTAACCGTCGCACTAGATAAAGCCCTTCTAAAAACCAAAAACATCAAAGATAACTCAGTCTGGACAAAAGCGTACACTACCGGTGGTGGACTCTGCTTCACAACGCCCCCAGACAAGCAGTCGATTACGTGAACCCGTCTGGAAGGACAACACCAAGGTATTCCGTTGTCGTCTTTATTTCCACTTGCCACACCATACTTGACCCACTTCTAATTTGATGTCACCACACCTTGTAACGTCGTATGCACTCCACAAGTCACGTACCTAGTTATTCAGTAGGGAAAATTATTCTGACCTAGCAGCCTTAACGGAATTCTCCCGAATCCTTCCCTAACATGCAACGAATGCCCAGCAAGCGAAGAAACAAGAAGTCCCCGAAGACAATGTTAGTTGGGTGAGCTGCCTGGTAATCATTCAGTGCTGATGCGACAACGCAGATCGGCCGAAGAATAAATGAACAAGAATACCTATCCACACCAGTAGCGAGGCAGGCTGCAAGAACAATAATGAAAAAACCCGGTAGAGGGCAATGGCCAAAGGCTAGCTGGTCTATGCTACCATTTGATGCCTGACTGTGGAATAATGCCACATTCATTTACAGTCGCTTCTCCAACCAATTTGCAACCAAGAACCCTTGTCACTGTACTACGGATTCCCACAAACATAAGAATTACAAGTACACGAGTTACGGATTCCCACAAACATAAGAATTACAACGAGCAACGCACTTCGAGGAAGGATCCTGTCACACTGTGTCCGGTCCGCAGCCCCTTCAACTCGGACCTAATGCTGGCAAAAGGACGATATACGTAAGCCTCGTGGTTGATGTGTTCCACCTATAGTCCGAGCACACCGGTAGTCCTGACCACGCAAACCGCCGACTCGGACCACTCAGACGAACCTCTGGACAGCCTATTCACTTCAGTAGTCACACCAGATCGGACTTTCCTGGAAAATGTGAGGCTAATGACCAAAACAGATCGAGCTGTATTAAACGTCAGCGACCAGTGGATTACCAGTAGCTTTGACAACGTCCACTATATTGAAATCCCGGAATTCATTAAATTACACTCCAAAAAACACCTCTCAGCAGGTATCTATCTATCCTATCTATCATAAACGACAAAAAACAACTACGGACCTCTCTAGAGCTGGGCACACAACAGACCCAATCGGCTGAAATGAACTCTGGAAAGCTTCCTTCAGGTCTTGCGGTCCCTGGAATCCCTCCACTAAGAGAGCATCGCTACCACTCACTAGTTGATATTTTCGAACAAAAACCGAAATATTGTTAGTTCAATACGCTGACCAGTCGTAGATCGAACGGTTGCTGATTCTTTCGCCCAGGCGGGAAATTCGCTAACAAACTTCTCACCATCAGTTTGCTTTAGCCTGTCCTAGATGCACATCGTTCAGCCTACGTTTTCGAACCGTACTAGAGCTAAGCATCCAAAAACGTTCGACTGGCAATACCAAGTTTCGTCAACCCACCCAGTCCCGCATAACCCTAGAAAAGCGAGAACACCCAGCACTTTATGCTCACTAGAAACCGTCGTAGACATAGAAAACCTCTTTCCTTGTAGTTCTGACTCGATATTTCCAAGGTCCACGATTGCTGAGCAGGCGAAGGACAACGAATCTCCCCGGCAGAGTTTACCCAAACCTTGGTACTCAAAAAATTGTTATCGTCCTCAAGGCACTGGACACAAAATCCCGCAGACGTGCGGAGGCCTACGGGCAGCTATCCCCTGAGCTCAAGTCAAATGGTGTCAGGTAAGACTATGCTCTCAACTTTCCTGTTCAACTTCGTCGTGGATACGGTTATGGCAAACTCACTCACAGCCTCTAAGCCCTATGGAGTCAAAGAACTTTGCGGTCCCGACGCATTTCCCAACACAAAGCTTAAGACTAGCAGTGACATTACAAAAGCTTCAGAATTGGCTACGCTGAACGACGGTCGCTGCAACGCAAGCGGTTGACAAAACGGTCGTTGGTACTGCGATCGAACTCACCAGATGTTGCCTCATCGGATATAAACTTCACTTAGTGTACACGGTGCCCGCACAACCATCCCAAAAGATCCAATAGCCCGAGGGTCCGACCCCTCTAAATACGTGTCGCGACGCCTCCTACGCGTGTGACCGAAGCTTGGCATCCCGGCCTTGGGTTGGGTAACTCATAAACAAACGAAATACTAGCGCGCCACTAATCAGAAGTAGTTGCTCAAACCGGCGCTTCTGAGTCCATTGCGTACAACCGAACCCGACATCTATTATGGCACGTCACAGAGCAGCCACGATCTGGAAATAAGCGAGGGCGATCAACATAAGCATAAATGATACACCATCTTCAGGGACAGCATTATTAGTGTTGACACTCATGCTTCACTGCCGTACAACCATGAACCTCATCTAGTTATATTTAAAGCCCTAGAGTGATAATAAGAGAAAAAGAGTGAGTGGGGGAGCGGACCTTGTGTTGGCCCATGCCAGGTATCCTGAGGCGCCTGCACCTCATTCGGACACCGGAAATACTACGAATGTCTAAACGTCCGAAGGCGACCCCAAGCCAGCCGGTAGTCAGAACGGGAGCCCTAACCAACATAGTTCAGAAGGAATATCGTACTCGATTGTCTTCGAAAAAGAGGAGTTCCCCACCCACTAGCTGCTATGTGGACCGAATCACTCAGCAGTTAACACGCACTGAACACTTCCGCCAGTTGTCGCAAGCAAACTATGAAGTGACGTAGTCCAGAGCAATGCGTTACGAACTCCGCGCACGGAAGTCCCAGGGGTGAGCATCCACCAACCCAAACAATTCCAAAATGAGAAAACAGGTACGACTTGAAAGATGTATTATACAGCAATGGCCAAACTCTATGTACACAATGCACGACGGAGCTCCTGGTCGGAACCAAAGATCTGACGAACAAAATCCACTGAAAGACGACGGCGTTGTTGGTCTCCAATAATCCGCGGAGCGATACCCTGCCTCACCGAACAAAAAGGCAGCGTTAGTGGTGGTTGGAAACACGTTAACTAACAGAAAAAAAACCGC